AAAGGGATTGACTTCTCTATATTTAAAGTGTATTTACCCTATTTACTTTAAAGTAATAATGGAAGTGGTATTAAAATTTTTCCCACAATAAATTTAGTGAACCTTGCATTTCCATCGAATTTCGAATAGCCTTGCTTTCACTAAATTTATTCTCATCCATACTGGAATAGAGTGCAGTTTATCCCTCGCCTAGGTCTTATTAGCACTCCTAGCGAGACTCAAACCATGACAGTTCAACTTATGATCTCGACTCGTCAAGCATCAATCCACATTTCCATGATTGCCTTTTAGTCAAAGGACAAATGTGAATTTCAAGTAAGGCTAGGAATTTAGAAAAATCACATTAAGAAGCAATCTTATATTTGCTATAGCAATGGAGCAGGCTACTTATAATTCGTTTGGAAGTAGGCATTCTAGACTAACTGTAGATCATTTATTTAATTACCTTAAATAAAATTAATGAATGCAATTGCTACATACATTTTCTAATGTTAGTCTCGAAAACCTACTATTAAAGGAAACATAAGTAACCTAGTCCATTGCTAAAGCAAATACATCATATTTGCATCGACAGTTCTACCACATATTGTGATATTGGAAAATGCATATTATTCCCTGAAGTTCATATCTGCCCTGTGACTTAAGGGTACTTGTTGAAATGTTGCTTAATCTTTAACGAGTCGAGATTATATGTTGCACTTTCTTGATTGAACCCTGCTGGGAGTGTTGATAAGACCTAGGCGAAGTAGAGATTGCAGTTTGCCCTAGTCTGGATGAGAATAAATTTACGGAATGTACGATTAGATGAAATTTAATGGAAATGCAAGGTTTCCTCATATTACTGTGGATAAAATTCAACTGCAAGCCTCTTATCACCCAACCTTAATATGATGAATGAGCTACATATAAAAATCATTTATTGATAGTCTTAAAAACCTACTTATAAACAAAACATTGTCTTTATAAGTATCTGTGCAGCTTTTGTGAAGAATGTCGAGACTAACTAACAATGCCGATTACGATGTCGGCGAACGTCTTAGAAATTACCAAGTCTAGCTAGATATACCTAACAAACGAGGTCATACCACATCTATTCAGTTAAATAAAACTTCGACCATAATAGAAACCACAACATTTTGGTCTTATTATCTAATAATACTATTTTCAGGCGTTTATTAGAGCATGTGTTTCTCCTATTCAAAATAGAGGCTTGACCCGATATTTTTATTTTGTTCACTTAACCTCAAAAGGAATGATTCTTTTATTCAATATGAATTGGGCCGCAATTTAAATCGCATTTAGCTTAATTGTGGCAGTAAGGTCAAATAATGATTTTTATTAAGTTCTTTACTAGATTTTCATATTTATTTCTTGCAGGTTTTGAACTGTTTGTTTATGTTGTTTGTTTACCAATTTATTTTATATATTAAGACAACTGTATGGCGCAACGTGTATCCTTAAAGCTTATAGTTTTGCCTATCAACCATCAAGACTGAGCAATTTTATGGTTAAGATAGTTAAGATATATTATAAATATTAATGGTGCTTATTTCATGAGCGTTGCTTTAAATTTGAATGTGCAAACAAAGTTGTCTTTCAATTAAAGAAGCAAAAAACACTGTTAGTAACTATAAAACCACAGTAAAATTCGTTTACATTTATAAAAACCTTATCATAAAATCAGATCGATTAAGCATTCTAGTATCTATTAATAATAATAGGCAGCCTCTTTCTGAAAATATCTACTTAAGTTAGTATGCAGCTAATTTGTAGATTGAGTTAGTTGATATTTTAAGGATATTTGTCAAAAATACATGTAAAATGAACCTTAATTTTAGGATTCCTAACAAGCAGATAGTATGAGTTTATATAACTTGGATTTAAATTTCTTTGCATTCAGCGGAAGTACAACCACATCTCATTGAGAATAAGAGTTTATTTTGGGGATGAAATCTCTAAAAAGTGTATTCAATAAATGAATTCATGCGTCTTTAGGTATTTTATACAAAAGTAACCTTTCAATTGGGTTTTACGCTTGTTAAATTTAACCTAATAAAGTAAATACATTCATTTTTCCTTGTTCAAACTCTTTTTTTAGTACAACATTTACCGTGTCAATAATGGATATCAATGATAATGCACCAATTTGGCTTTTTCCTCGCTCTCCTGATGACACTCTTGTCAAAATGAAGTTTGATATTCCTGCAAATTCCATCGTAACGCGAATCCAAGCAATCGATCTTGACACTGGAGAAAATGCTCAAATTATCTACAGCGTAGTTAACATAGCTCTGATAGACCAAACAAGTAATCAAACTAACAACCCTCAGCAAACCAAGTCAATAAAATCTGGTTCTTCGGTAACCACAGTAAACTCTATACTGATAGCTAACAAAGAAGAATCACCAGGCTTTCAATCGGAATACTCCGAATTATTTAAGTTGGATTCTCGGAGTGGTCTAATCATGCGCAGCAATGTAAATTCTTTTGACGAATCGAAAAAGACTGACCTCTTAGTACCCGGAAAAAGTCTCCGTGTCGTTTTGCGTGCTACCGACAAAGGTTATCCAGTGGCGCAATGGAGCCAAGAGGTCCTTTACATTGATCTCATTGCTGGCAGTGAATTTACCTCAAATCTACCATATCAGATCAGCAAATCAGATCTGAATATAAATAAAGAAGCAGAAATGCTCTTGAGGTAAATTAAAATTAAATGATAACTTCTTCATATATGGAAATAACCAGGTCTCATTTTTTCATAAAGCTGCCTACTAAAGTACTCAGTTTTTTTATTATTCAAATTTAAGAAGAATATTTGTTATTTTATTTAAGCTAAAAAGGACGATTATTTTGCAAATAATTCTGGACCAAGATGAATAAAATTTGATTTTTATTTTATTCCTTTTTACAAAATATAAATTAGCTAGTTATTGAGTTCCATGATAATATCGAAAAAGACCAAGTATTCCGAATTTATATTAAATCCACTAATACTTTTTGGCTGACTGCTACCATGGGGTCTGGCTTAAGCTCGATAATAAACAAGTTCAAATATGTAATATTAATAGATTATAATAATAAATGTGTAAAAATCTACTTT